CACTACTGTATTTCCGTGAAATGCACTCAGAACGTTTTGGTGACGTGATAAGGCACTGTATCTAATAATAATAATAATCCTTATTTAAATGCAAAGATTACTATTATAAACCAGGAACCTTTTAAACAATAAGCTCCCCCACCACCAACCCCACCTCTGCACACACACAAACAGCCATGAAGTGAATGATCAAATTATAATAACGGAAATAATAATAAAATAATAATAATCCTTGCATTTGGTGCAGCGCCTTATCACGTCGGAAGGACATCTCCAATACAGGAATTACTGTGAAATTACTTGTAGGCAAATACACAGCACAATTCCACACAGCAATGTCCCATGGAGTGAGAGACCAATTTTATTTGTGGGGGATTGTTGGCCAGGACATCGGGAGATAGAAACTCACTTCTCTTTTCAAATAATCTTTAAAATCAACCTGAACAGGGTTTTAATTAATTAATCTCTCTCTCTCTCTCTCTCTCTCCTTTCTTCACTTTACAGCTGTGTATTAAAAATCAACACTAAATGGCTCCTAATTACAAATGATAAACACCTTGTTAACATGGGTGATGGGGAACTGGAAGTGTCAGTACTGGGACTTTACCCTGTGTTGAGGCTTCTGTAGAAAATCTCATGCATTTCGGAAGGACGTGTGATAGAGGCAATGTGTGACCTGCAATTCACAAGTCTCGCCCAACACCAAGTGGGTTCCGCATTTGCAAATTAATAATAAACAGCCGTTAGCTGAACCTATTTGCTTTCCAGCACATTTTTCCATTCAATTTACAAGTTCAAGACATCAAGCATTTTAGCTTAACAATGACAGCCGTGATTGACATTGACGCCCACCTCGTCACAGGGAGTTTCTTCCCTCAATGTCATGAGGTTTGACATTCATTTCCTTCCTGCTTTATTTATTTTGTGTGAGTTTTTATGTAGAATTAGCCTGTGTTTTATTGAATAAAATAAAATTGAATAAAATAAATGGGACGCCGCTGTGCGCAATTGGCTACTGAGTTTCGCCCACAAAATACACAGTCAATCCACTTTATAATATATTCTGTGAAGCAGTTTGAGACTTATTATTATAAATTCAAAAGGTTACCAGGTCTAATTTCAATAAGACCAATAATAATCCTTTGACCAGGGCCTTTTATGTCAGGGGGATGTCTCAAAGCACCTCATAGGATTTACTGTAAATTGTGTTGTCCTGTAGCTTAGTGGTTAGAGAGGACCAGGGTTTGATTCCCTGGGCAGGGCGAAACCTTAGGCAAATTTCCTTATTCCGAATGCCTCTGTTTACATGGCAGTAAGTAGGAACCCGGTTGTTAATCAATTAGTGGATCGCTTTTACGGGGATAATAATCCCTTCAAATAAAAAGAAAAACTAAAAATAATAATTTGGTCACTCAATCCACAACTGTTTGTGGGACACTGCTGTGCGCAGCTGGCTACCGTGTTTCACCCACAAAATATATATAGTCAATTCACTTTACAGTATATTCTGTGAAGTGCTCTGAGACGTCTCGAAGACGTGGTAAGGCGCTATATCAAATGCAAGGATTATTATTATTAATCAATGACTGTTATATGTGGATGGATGTAGCAGCCAATCTTGCACACAGCAACGTCAACAACATCAACTTGCATTTATACAGCGCTCTTCACTCAGGTAGAAGGGAGCCGTAAACAGCCATCCCACAAACAGCCATGAAGTGACTGGACAATTGTATTTCAGGGGAATTTGTTGGCCAGGACTATGGGAGAATGCACCCAGCAGCTCAGCTAATTCCAGAGAGTATTATGCACAAGTTGGTGAGAGCCAAGGCTTGGGGATCTCAGAGGCAAAAACACGCAGAGCTTGTCATAGTCAGGGATTTGGACCTGATCTAGGGATTGGGATCAGGGAGGGTGGAGGGCAGGGAGGGTGGGAGGGTGGCCAAAGGCACAGTTGAAGAGGAGGGTTTTGAGATGCGCCTTGAAGGACGCAAGGGAGGGAGCGAGATGAACTTCAACCCACAACCTTCTGACCCAGACCCCAGAGTGTTGCTGCTCACTGAGCCAGGCTGACACCCCGTCATGATTTGCCACATAGAAATTAATGGCAAAATCATTGCAAATTTGTTAGATCTGAGATGTCTAGAAGACATGAAAAAAGCACTATATCAGATGCAAGGATTATTATTATTAGAAGAGTTTTGGATGTTTAACTGCTGGCCAGAGACGTTGTGTGTGGGGGGTGGGGGGGGGGGGGGGGAGAGAGGGAAAGGGGGTCATTGGACCTCAGTTCCATGTTATTGCTTGATTCAACTCCCACCCGCAGTGTGTGTGATGGCCATGAGCTTTTAACACCAGTGCTAGTTTCTGATTGACACCCAATTCAAGCGCTGTTTGTTTGCCTGTCCGTGGTGGATGTTATTAATACACACACTGTATGTTAAGCCTCAGTGCAATCTCACTGACAGACATGGTTTGTATATTGAAAAGCAGTTTCGTGTCAAGAACTCCTGCAGAGACCAATCCCTCTTCACAGGATAGTGGAAATCTGGAACTCTCTCCCTCAAGAGGCTATGCATAATAATAATAATCCTTGCACTTGATATAGCACCTTATCAAGTCTTCGAGACGTCTCAAAGCGCTTCACAGAATATACTGTGAAGTGAATCGACTGAATATTTTTGTAGGGAAACGCGGGAGCCAATTGTGCACAGCAATGTCCCACGAACAGTTGTTATTATTATTATTATTTTATTTATTCGTTTATTTATTTATCTGTTGAAGGGATTTTTACCCCCAGGAAAAAGTGATCCGTCAATCGACTAACAACCGGGTTCCTACTTACTGCTCGGTAAACAGAGATGTGGGGAGTAAGGAAACGTGCCCAACATTTTGCTCTGCTCAGATTCTATGCTGAATCCATTCAAAGCTTCAAGACTGTGGTGGATAGATGTTTGTTAGATAACGCTATCAAGAGATATGGGGCAAAGGCAGGTATTTGAAGTTGAGGTACAGATCAGCCATGATCTAATCGAATGGCAGAACAGGCTCGAGGGGCTGAGTAGCCTTCTCCTGTTTCTATGTTCCAAACCAGTAATTTCTAACTTGCAATTTACAAAATGTCTTTAAAGAGGATAGAAAAAAATCACTCCCAAGTGTTTATCAACAGGTTCTTACCAATAGCATTGAGATTGAATTTCAAAGCGCCCTCGCTCGGGTTAATATATATTTATATACAGGTATTTATGTTTCCCGGGACTGGGTTGATAGCAAATAAGAGAAACTACATCTTTAAAGATGAAAGCAGGGATTTGCACATTCATTTGTTACAGGTCACTGTCAGCTCGATAGACAAATATTATAGTGTTCCTGCCTCTGGCAGTGTAAATATTACTGAACCCTTCCAAGCATCGTCATTTACATCAGGTAATATCTCCACTCATCCTCTTCTCCCGCTTGGATAGACATAATAATAATCTTATTTGATATAGTGCCTTATTACATCATTGAGCTTTACAGAATATATCGTAAAGTGGAGGCACTGTGTATTTTGTGGGTGAAACTCAGCAGCCAATTGCGCACAACAACAGCGAAGTTTGATATTACAGCCTCATCCCTTATAGTTGACAACTTTGTCGATTTCAACACAGATTCAGTTCCTAGTCTACAGTGCTCGGTTTCCTTCCACTTAATCGCTACACAGTGAACCCACCAAATTGGTTAATAATAATCCCAGAACATATGGAAATGCTTTTTTTTTGGGGGGGGGGGTTGAGGGGGTGGAGAGTGAAGCCTTAAGCATAAGTTAATTCGCCCACAAAATGTACAGTCAATTCACTTTACAGTATATTCTGCGCTTTGAGACATCTCAAAGACATGATCAGGCACTACATCAAATGCAAGGATTATTATTATTAAATAAACGTTGATTTGCAACTGCAAATAAAAGAGTCTCGCCAACATTACTTAAGAGGGAATAAAAATGTCGGGAGGTGAACTGAGACGAATGAAATTGAATCAAATGAAATGTTGTATTAAGAAAATCATAAATGTGCGACACCCCCAAATGACCGGTCCTATAAAGATTTGATGTTGTTGTTGAGTCGAGACACAAATCTACAAATCTACAAATGATCTATAAATGCCCTTTTTTTTAAAAAAAGCCTGCATTAGGGCAGACCCTGGACGAGTTTCTGGTTGGGAGTAAATAACATGCAAATAAATGGAATAAATTGCAATTTGCAGTTGAGGTTTTGTGCTGAGGTTAAGGTGTTGTGTGTGTTGTGTGTGTGTGTGTGTGTGTTTTGATGGGGTGTTGATCACAAGATTGATTGGATCTTAAGGTAACACAGTTCAACGTGTTAAATATGTACCCACACACCCCACACACACACACACTGAGCCTTCACTTGTCACACCTTATTTGTCAGTCGATGGGGAGGAAAAGGAGTCGTGCTGAGTGCTGAGTGCTGAGTGTGCTAAAAGCATCTTTCCTTGAGACTGTTTGAATATTCCTGAGACCAGCCATCAGGGGCAAACAGGCAGGACAGGCAGGGCAAGGCAGGGCAGGGGCTCACAAGAGATGATGATGGTCAGACACTTTTTTTCCCCTGCCCTGGAAAACAGGCTATAAAAACCCCCTCACTCAGGAGAGAGAGAGGAGAGAGAGAGGGGATCCCAGTTGTGTTGAACCAGTGAGATTGTGGTCACAGCCCATCACAGGCAAAGCCATAACAGGCAGAGGAGCTGCTGTCAGAGAGAGAGGAGAGAAGGAGAGAGAGAAAAGTGTTCAGGGTTTTACTGGGATCAGTTGCTGTGACTTGGGTGTTGGAAGGGAGATCTCTGTCTCTCTCTCTCTCTCTGTCTGTGTGTGTGTGTGTGTGTGTGTGTCTCTCTCTCTCCTGCAGTTTGTGAGCCACTTGCCCAACCCATCGCTGGACACAATGGAAAAAACAACCCATTTACTCTCTGTTCTTCCTTTCCTCCTGACTTGCCAATTGATGCATTCAGCAGCCAGCGTCCTCCCTAAACTTTCCTTCCTGCCCATCCGACCAGAAGATGACCAAACTCCAGCCAAAGGAATCACAGGTACAATCTCTCTCTCTCTCATTCTCTCTCTTTCTCTATAGGATGTTCACAAAGTCCTGTTACCCTCATACCCCCTTTTTTTCTTAATTCCAAAAATCAACAGTTTGCATTGATATGATGTCAATACAATATGATAATCCTGGCGTTTGGTACAGCGCCTTATCGCGTCTTCGGCACGTCTTCAAAGCGCTTCACAGGATGCGCTGCAGAGTGAATTGACTGTGTGTTTTGGGGGCGAAACGCGGTGCTTCGCCCTTCGCACCGGGCGGCGTCTCGGAGGGTTTAACAACAGGAACGTGTGGCAAAACGATGATGAAGTGCTTAATTCTACCCAGTACAAGTGTGTAACTGTGGTTAGTTAGTGTGTGTGTGCGCGCGTGTGTGTGTGAGTCTGTGTGTGCACGTGTGTGTGTGTGAGTGCGTGTGTGTGCGTGAGTGCGCGTGTGTGCGTGTGAGCCCCATTATTTTCAAGGCAGATAAATGGCGACAATCTTCTGTTACATGGATGGAGTCAGTGAGGAGGAAGTTACTGGTATCAGACATTGTTGCACTCGACTCATCTGCAATAGAGAATAAAAATTCATTGCAAGAAGAAAAATAACACAGGGGTGGGGTGGGGGGTGGTGAGGAAAACCCTATGTATATTGGAGGATTAGGAGTTAGAGAACAAGGAGTGAGTGAGAGAGAGAGAGAGAGAGGGACTTTTTGACTCTTTTTTTNCGTTTAATTGCGAGAAATTAACTGCAAATTCAACTGCATGTATTTTGTGGGCCAAACACGGCAGGCAATTGCGCACAGAGGTGACCCACAAACCGTCGTGGAGTGAGTGACCAAATTATCATTATTATTATTTTTTCCGAGACACTGCCCTGCTTGAAGGACGCTGTATAAATGCAAGTTGTTGTTGTTATTCTGGCATGATGATGAGGATGCTGATGAAGAAGGAAAACAAACATGTGTTTTTTTTGTAACGTTCCTTCTTTCTTTTTCTTGTGCTCCCCATTCGCCGCTCCTAAGGCTGCTCCTTTGGTGGGAAACTGTATGACCTCGGGGATACCTGGCACCCGAATTTGGGGGAGCCTTTCGGCATAATGCACTGTGTCGTGTGCCATTGTGAAGCTGTGAGTATCACCTCCCATTCATTCTTTTATTAACCATCGCTAATACAGTAAACCTCACATATTTCCCATCAGTTGGGACCGTACATTTCATCTGACTTCTGAAAAGTATGAGTTTTGTGTCAATGATCTTAATCTCTGACTGTTCAGCGCCTTGGGACGTCTTCCCGACGTGAAAGGCGCTTTATAAATGTAATCTTGCATTGTGTGATCGACATTTGGCTCATATTTTTGATTGATCGGTGTCACTGGTGAATTCAGTGTCACCGGTGCAGGAGAGCCCAGCTGTAAATGGTGTTACATTTATAATATACAGTCACTACACTTCACAGTAACTTTGTGAAGCGCCTTTTAGCACCCTGTTTCACATCTGGAAGCGTAACCTTCACAGTATCTCGCCTAGTCACCACACATCTCAGTAAAATCCTGAGAATAACTTTTAGACATCAAAGGCAAGGATTATAATTTTTATTATTAATAATAATCTCTGCTATCGTCACACGCTCTCTCAGTTGCCTGTTAATGCTGTGACAAGGAGTTGTGAGGTTGTGAATACGATAGGATGGCACAATCTGAGTCAATGTGTGCCTGTTGGAACTCACCATTTACCAGTCTAAAGCTTTTGTAAAGCTTCCTTTTTCAAGACTTCGTCTGGGAAAATAAGGGTTAAACTGATTTGCTCACCTCGGAGGGTAATGAAATTGAAATAACAAACCCCAATTTTCCACCACGTTGAACACAGGCAATCTCTCCCCCCTACTCCCACCCCTGTCTACAGAAATAACAATTACAGAACCTGTTGTTTTCCAATTAGTGAGAGATTACGACTTGCTTTGCAAAGGAATAAACATTTGAGTTTTTAGGAAGCTCACAGCTATTGAATTGCCAATTGCTTGGTTAATTAGGTGCTGTCTAATCACATCTCTCTCTCTCTCCTCCCTTCCCAGATGAATGTGTATTTGATAAGACATCTAGTTATTTGCTTAGCAAAAGAGGCGTTAGTTTGTAAGGGGTGGGTGGTGGGGGGGGNAGAAGAGACAGCACACTTCAGGACATTGAGAATCTCGGATATAAATTAATCAACAAGACGTGAAAATGTCTTAACGTCGAAATATTAGGATCAAGTGTGAGACATTCTGTAATCCTTAGGTTAAATACCACACGGAATACATTATGAGGCTCACAGACAAACCCATTGATTTGCTTTTGACTGGGGGGTGAAATTTTAAGTGATTGTATGAATCCATGTGATTTTATCGATACAATCCTGTGATTGTATGAATCCAACTGAACAAACAGAAGCCATCGTGATTCTGAACATGTTTTAATTTGCCTAAAAAATACACAGTACACTGTTGTTAGACCATTGGCAGATCGCTTTCCAGGGTGTTAATCCCCCCCCAAAATTTAATTGGGTCATTCAATCGACATCTGTTTATGGGACGCTGCTGTGCGCAATTGGCTGCTGCATTTTGCCCACAAGATACACAGTCAATCCACTTTACAGTATATTCTGTGAAGCGCTTTGGGATGTGTTAACATAAGGCACCATATCAAATGGTACAGAATCCAGAAATTCAGTAAACTCCTGATAACTCGTCACTCCAAGGGGAAAAGGACTCAGTGACGAGTTATCAGGAGCAGTGAGTTAGACTTTTATATAAACAAATAGATATATATACGCAGCCGGGATATTGACAGCGTGATGACTTAAGTGGTAGTGACAAGTTAAGCCAGGGTCAAGTTCTCAGTAGTTTACTGGACTTGTAAATGTTTATTGAAATGCTATTAATGCTGTTTTTTTGCAAAGTTAAGATGTGGGTTGATTGGAATTTCATCCCACAGTCCCTCCGCCTCGCCCCTTCCCTTGCTTCCTTCTACGTCCATCTCAAGACCCTCCTCTTCGACCGTGCCTTCGGTCACTGTCCTACCTCTACCCTCCCCGTCTTCCACTCCTCCTGATCCCAACCCCCAGCTCGGGCCCAAATCCCTTACTGTCCAGGAAGTCCTCCCGACATGAAAGGCACTGGGTAAATGTAATGTGTTGTTGTAGATTAAACTATTTCAATGCATTAAGAATATTCTCACTTTATCTCTCTCTCTCGCTCTCTCAACCTCGTTATCACAGCAACGCAATCGCCGAGGGAAAGTGCACGGCAAAGTGAGCTGTAGGAACATTAAACATGACTGCCCGGAACCTCTCTGTAGTGACCCTGTCTTACGCCCTGGTCATTGTTGTAAAAGCTGCCTGAGAGGTGAGGACAATTCACTGTGTTAAAACCTCTACATTTTTTTCTCCCCCCAAAATTCCCAATTTTAAAAGTCATTTTGACCCGATGCCATTTGACTTGGATAACTTCGCAAACAGAGTCCCGTAGCTCAGTGGTTACTGCGCAAGCGAGAGGCCTCGGGTTCGATTCCCAGACTGGACGAAACCCTAGGCAAGTTTCCTTACTCCTCACGCCTCTGTTTACCTAGCAGGAAGCAGGAACCCGGGGAAAGATCGCTTTCCGGGGATAATAATCCCTCCAAAAGTTTTTTAAAAAATTGGTCACTCAATCCATGACTGTTCGTGGGACACTGCTGTATACAGTCGTCTGCCACGTTTTACCCACAAAATCCACTTAACTGTATCTGAAGCGTTTTGAGACGTCTCAATGACGTGATAAGGCGCTGTATCAAATGCAAGGATTATTATTATTATTATTAGACAAAAGGAAATCTCCACCCGTGTGTGAGACTGGCAGTTTGGTTGAAACGCTGTGGTTTCCGCGCGCGCTGGGCACCTGCTAATCTCACGCTGGTTCTTCGCTCTGTCCGGCAGACACCGAGCCCCACTCGGAGAACAAACCTGAGCACCTGCTGGACGGCTTCGAGTATTTCCCTCTCGAGAAAGAAGACGACCTACAAAAGAGTTACAACGACCGCTCCTACGTCAGTTCCGAAGACACCACAATGGACGACAGCAGAACAGGTCTTTCTTCAACACCTGTTTAGCAGATATTTGGCCGATTCCCGTCCCTGGAAACATGGTGACGTGATCAGTCACCGCGATTTCATCAGAGCAATCCTCGCGCTGAACAGGGTGTTTGCAAAGTCCTGTTACCCCCATGTTTTTTTCCTCCCTACAGTGAGGAACGACTGAAACATGCGTAAGAATGATGCTAATTGTATTTAGAAGGACTTCATTGTATTGAGTACAATTGTTTAACTGTGTTTAGACATCCGGAGGGCCTGTGTATATGTGTGTGTGTATGTGTGAGTGAGAGTGTGTGTGAGAGAGTGTTTTCATGGCAGATAATGATCCATCGCCATGTTTGGTTGCGAGATCTTCCTTTACATGGATGGAGTGAGGAGAAAGTTACAGACATTGTTGCACTCCACTCACCTGCAACAGAATATAAACATTCATTGTAGGAAGAAAACTGGGAGGGTAACAGGACTTTGTGAACACCCTGTAGTTGTGCTTGCTGGAGTCTGATTAACCCTCTGCCTGTTACTGTTCTCCCTGCAGATTTTGTCGCCTTACTGACCGGGACATCCCAGGACTCCTCAGTGTCCAGCGGAGTGGCCAAAGCCAGATTCACTCTGGTCAGATCCAACCTCGTGTTCGCCATCCACTACGAGAGGTATCAGCCAAGAGCCTTCGCCAGGGGGAGTGGGGGAGAGAGGGGTGGGTTTGGTGGGGGAGGGGTTACAAAGGAGAAATGGAAATGCGGGGAGGAAGCTCTACTCTCTACCACTGGCGTCTCCCACCTTGATAATAATAAGAATCCTTGAGACGCCTCAAAGCGCTTCACAGAATATATTTTAAAGTGGAGTGTCTGTGTATTTTGTGGGCAATGAGAGGGGGCCTTCCTCTCCCAACGCAATGGGGCGGGGGGAGGGAGGAGTGGGTGTTCAGAAAATAATTTCTGAATCTAATAAAGTGTCGGTGGGGGTGGGCGGGTGGGGGGTGGCTGTATCAGAAATTTCCCAAGTACAGGATGGATCGAATGGTCTTCTTGTGTTCTGTAGTTTTATAGGAATGCTAATTTAACAAGAAAAGTCTGATCGCTCCTCTCTCTCTCTCCCTCTCCCTCCCTCTCTCTCTCCTTCTCTCCCTCTTTCTCGCCCCCCCCTCTCTCTCCACCCCCCCCCGCCAACTCTCTCAGACTCAGCCGCCCCATCAGAGTGAGTTTCAGGGACAGCACTGGTACGGTTTTGTTTGAACATCCCGTCCACAAGACCACATCACCTCAAAGCAACCTGGTGAGAGACCGCCCTTTCCTCTTGCTTACCGAAGCGATGCTGGGTCTCCAAGGCCTCGAATTCTCCACGATCGTAGCCTCGAGATCACGACCTTGCCGCCTAAATTCATCATTAATTTGGAAGCCGCTTTTCCACACTTGTTTAAAAAGAGTTCGACCTGAGACCAAGTTTAACAATTTTCCATAAATTCAACAACAAAATTGCATTTACACAGCGTCTCTCACGTCGGGAAGAAAGACGTCCCAAGGCTCTGACACTAAGGGCTTGCACCCGAGCTGCGGGTTGGAATCTAGAGGGGTGGGTGGGGTGGGGGGGGTGGGAGGTTGGCCAAAAGGATGATCAAAGAGGACGGTCTTGAGAGGGGCTTTGAAGGAGGCAAGGGAGGGGGTGAGACGGAGGGATAGAATTCCAGGCGATGGGGCAGAAAGGCTTAAGGACGAGGGGCCCACCGAGCGGAGGGAACGGACAGGTTCGTTTGGTGTTAGTAGGTCAAACTCTGCCACTGTTGAGTACTCCGGAACACTGTATACCTTGTTGCTGTAAACTCACAATCCTTTGAGGAATGGGGAGCCAGTGGAGGTGTGCGAGGATATGGGATGATGGGTTCAACAGAGTTTGATCCTCTTAGATTTTAAGACACTTGTCCTAAGGGGTGAGAGTGGGGGATGTAACCTGCTCTGTGAACACTTTGCAGATCTGTGGCATGTGGCGGAACGTACACAAACCTTACATCCAGCTTCTCAAATCGAACCAGCTCCATGTGGCTCTGATGACACAACCCCAGACAGACGCAATCATTCGAGGGAAGATTGTCAAACACAGGGCTCTCTTTGCTGGTGAGATTATAATAATAATAATAATAATAATAATCCTTGCATTTGATATAGCGCTTTTCACGTCGGGAGGACGTCCCAAAGAGCTTCACAGAACACACTGTAAAGTGAATTGACTATATTTGTGGGTGAACGCGGCAGCCAATTGCGCACAGCAATGTCTCACAAACAGTCGTAGATTGAAAATGACCAATTTATTATTGGTTTTGGAGGATTATTATTAGGTTCTGTGTGGAGTAAGGAAACTTGCCCAAGGTTTCCCCCTTTGCCTGGAATTGAACTCAGGTCTCTCGCTTGCAAAGCGAGTGCTCTAACCACTGAGCTACAGGACCCCGTATTGTAGCACCATAGCAATAATAATGATAATAATCCTTGCATTTGATATGGTGCTTGATCACATCTTTGAGACATGTCAAAGCGCTTCATAGAATATATTGTAAAGTGTATTTTGCGGACGGAACGTGGCAGTCAATTGCGCAGAACAGTGTCCCATAAACAAATTAAGTGACCACATTTTTTTTGGAGGGATTGTTACCCCCTAGAAAGCGATCTGCCAATCGACTAACAAGCGTGTTTCTGCGTTCCGCTAGGTAAACAGAGACGTGTGGGATAAGGAAACTTGCCTAAGGTTTTGCCCCGCCTGGGAATCAAACCCAGGACCGGAAAAAAACTTTTTAACAGCTGCATATTTGGGTGAAAAAATCTGAGCAGAACCTCATGTGTTCAACTGTTTCTACCCCGCCTCCCCCCACCCCACCCCGCAGAAACTTTCAGCTCTGTTCTGACCTCGACCGACCCCAGGCAGTCTGGACTGGGGGGGATTGCAATGCTGACCCTCAGCGATGTGGAAAACAACCTGCATTTCATTGTCATGTTCGAGGGGTTGGCGGAGAGGAGAGACAAAGGTAAGCAGCCATTCCCTGAGCCTCTCCCTGAGCAATTCCAATGTAATTACCGGTAACGATTCTTACAATGAAATTATTAACAATTAAATTACTGTTAATTGTTCTAATGGAATTATTAATGAAATTACCGTTAATGACTGCAATTTTGTTTTTGGGGGGGTCAGCCGGGTGTCTGACTCGTACGGAAACCCGTCACCGTCGCTTAAGAGTCTCCAAACCAAACGTGGAAATCCCAGAGGTAGATTGTTGGAGTGGAATGCGCTCTCTCTCCCTGGAGGGACGCAACCTGATTACCGTGAAATTATTAATGATGAAATTACCGATAATTGTTACAATGGAATTGTTAATGAAATTACCGGGACTAATTGTTACAGTGAAAACACAGGGGACAATTTATAGTAGAATGTCGTATGTGTGTATAAACGTACTTAGGCAGTTTTGTTTTACAAATGGCAATTTACAGCAACAGCTTCCGCTGCAACTCGGGACATTCTTGTGCTAAAACATTGGAGGATACAGTGTGATATGGTTGGGAGGCAGTAATAATCCTTGCATTTGATATCGCGCCTTATCATGTCTTCGAGACGCCTCAAAGCTCTTGAACACAGAATGTACTGTAAAGTGAATTGATTGTATATTTCGTGGGCAGTGGAATAATAATGTGAAGCGAAGCTGCTTCTGTTGGAGTGAGTTCCAAAGAGAGTTAGCAGCTGAGCTCTTTGGCGCCAAATGGGCAAGTTGGGGGGTGGGGGGTGTGAAGAACAAGGGTTCTGCCAGAGGTGGAGGAACAGGGGGAAAGAGCTGGAGCAGATTGTCGAGGTAGAGTGGGTGGGGGGCAAAGACATGAAGAGATATGAAGGTCAAGGATTATTGAGGTTCTTTTAATCAAATCATTGGGAATCTGGGAGCCAGCGTTTCTCACGGCTACATAACAATACTTGTTGCCTGTTGTGTTCTGCCAGTTCAGTACAATTCCATTGTTGTGGCTTTGGTCATAGAGATAGACACTGATCCCACGCCTGTGTCTTATCTGCTGTCTGGCCTTGTGGTGTAAGGGATCATCACAGTTTTTCTTCTGATGTCTCCCTCCCTTTCAGGTCAGGTCCAGTTCCCGGTGCGAGTGCAGCTGCTGTACAGAAACCGTCCTCTCAGGGAGGTCAGAGCCAACGTGACGGCCCATGTAAGCACCTAACAACAAATACAAACCACATTTACACGGCGCCTTTCACGTCGGGAGGACGTCCCAAGGCACTGGACAGTCAGGGATTTGCACCAGTACTGGGTGGTGGGATCAGGAGGGGTGAAGGGCAGGGAGGGTGGGGGTAGAAGGGTGCTAAACCGAATGCAAGGGTTTAAGGGTGATTATTAATGATCCTTACATTTGATATTGCGCCTCATCACATTGTTCAGACGGCTCAAAACGCTTGACAGAATATATCATTAAATGAATTGACTGTATATTTTGTGGGCGAAACTCGAGGGTCAATTGTGCACAGCCAATTCCCACAAACAGTCGTAGTTTGAGTGACCACATGCTTTGGGGGGGTGGTGGGTGGGGGGAGGGATTATTACCCCTGGGAAGCAATCCCCCAATCAAACAACCGGGTTCCTACTTACTCCAGGTAAACAGAGGCGTGTAGAGTAAGGAAACTTTTGCCACGCCTGGGAATTGAACCCGAATCTTCTCGCTTGCGAGGCGAGTGCTATAATCACCAAGGATAATGTAATGACCACTGTAATTATCTAACGCTGGTGATATGTGTCGTTTGAGCAGGACCCTGATTTTGCTGAAGTGCTGACCAACCTGAACAGCAGAGAGATGCTCTTCCTGTCTCGGGGCCAGTTACAGATTGCCCTGGAGACGGAGGGCAGGAGCCCACACCGCATTTCAGGCTTCATAACCGGCAGGAAGACCTGTGACAGTGAGTGGAGGAAACAATCATTTGGTTTTAATGCCTTTAACTGAGAAGTGATCATATTATTAATAATAATAATAGTAAGGGGATGGGGAGGGTGAGATGTGGGAGATCGAGCGGGGATGGCTGGGTGGAATTTTGGGGCCTCTGAATCTCAGCTAAAGCTTTGTCACTATTTTCTCTCCATTTCCCCAGCCATCCAGAGTGTCCTGGCAGGAGGAAACGCTCTCGCACAGACCAAAACCGGGGCCGTGGGTTCAGCCAAGTTTACTCTGCACGACAATGGCACCCTGGAATATCAGGTATGCATTATACTGGACGCCTCTTCCACCACCAACAACAACAACGACTTGCATTTATATAGCGCAGGTCACACAGGGCAGCGTCTCGGAGCTCTTGACTGTTACCTCTTCACTGCGAAGGAGTCCTGGATAAAGCAAGAGTTTGTATTTTTTGTTCGCGTGAAATTACATTTCACGTTAAAAAAAATTATAATAATTTGGTTACTCAATCCACGACTGTTAGTGGGACAATTGAATTGCAATTTATGCCCACAAAGTACAGTCAATCACCACCCCTGCCCCTAACCCCGCAAAAAAAATTGGTCCTTCACTTCCTGGCTGTTTGCGTCCTGCTGTTTCCTGGCTGTTTTGAGTTCTGGCCCAGGCTCCACTGGATGGATTGACTTCAAGATCCTCACTCTCATGTTCAAATTCATTCACTCCCTGGCACCTCCCGACCTCTCCAACCTCCTCATTCCCCAATCCACCACCTGAGGCCTCCTCTCGACTGGCACCGGCCTCCTGCTTGTCCCTCGCACCTTCCGCCCCACCGTCGGATGTCGCGCTTTCAGCCACTATGCCCCGAAACACTGGAACACTCTCGCTTAATCCCTCCACCCTGCCCCCTCTCTTTCAAGTCCTGCCTGAAAACTTTCCTCTTCGACCGTGCTTACAGCCACCTCCTCCCGGCTCGGAATCAGGCTCTGACACTGTTAAGCGCTCTGAGACGCTACCCTGTGTGGAGGGCACCATATAAGTGCAAGTTGTTGTTGCTGTTGCGGGACGGTACTGTGCGAAAATCGGTTGTTGCGTTCACCCACAAAATACACAGTCACTCCACTTACCTTGTGAAGCATTTTGACTCGTCCTGCTGACGTGATCGGCACTATATCGAGCAATAATAATAATAATGTTCCTTGAGTTTGATATCACGTCATTGAAACGTCTCAAAGCGCTTCACAGAATATATTGTAAAGTGCAGTGACGGTGCATTTTGTGGGCGAAACTCAGCAGCCAATTGCGCAGAGCAACGTCTCACAAACGGTCGTCGATTGAGTGAGGGATTTTTTTACCACCAGAAAGCCATCCGACAGTCGAGTGCAAGGATGGTTATTTATTGGATGTAATAATAAGGGTTTGTGTGACAGGTCCAGGTTGCTGGCACTGCCAGTGAGATCATGGGAGTCACCATTGAAACCAAACCTCGTCGAAGGAACAGACGCAACATCTTGTATGACTTGACTCCTGACTACAGGAATGGTTTTGTAAGTACCAGCATCTGCAGGGGTTGCAAAGGGCCGAGGCAAGGCGAATAGGGGTTAAAAAAAATGGCTCATTGTATTGGGGAATCAATGACTAGTGGTCAGAGCTTCTGATTGTTAGCAGGAGAATCGGAGGAGATGTCTTCTTTGGCCAACCGGGTGTCTGGCACGTGCGGACACCCATCACCGCATGCTCAATGCGAACGCTTTCTCTCTCTCTCTCTCTCTCTCTCTCCCTGGAAGGACGCATCTTGCTTACCTAATTCTGGAGAGCGTTAGGCGCAGGATGGTGAGAGCCAAGGCTTGGGGGAGCCCAGAGTGTGAGTTGGGAGTAACTGCTGAAGTCTAACCTCGTAGCGTGCCACAGAGAACGCAATCTGACAAACTTTCCTGCTTAGGCTAAAATATTTTTTTCTCTCTCTCTTGTTGAGTTGTTTGGGGGCTGAATTCATGTCTGTGAGTGTCATGTTGAGGCTGGATCGCGAGACTCATTTGATAGGAAACTGGATAAGAACTTGAAAAGAAAGAAAACATTATGGGATACGGGGAACGAACTGGAAAGTGGGATTAATAAATACGGTGGTTTAACAAGACCGAGGAAGAAGCAGCAGTATCTGAAAGCAAAGGGGAGGTCAGAGACCTGTGGAGCGGGCTGTAAATCCTTGCTCTTTCTCTCTGTGACCTTAGGCGATTGGAGCTTGCGATTATTTCAGCGCCAGAGATATTCACATGCTGCTGCAGAACGAGTTGTTTATCAACGTGGCAACAAAGGACTATGAAGATGGGGAGCTGAGAGGGCAGATCAGCTCTTTACTGTACAGTGGCCTTCAGGCTCGATATTACGGTAAACCACTCAGAGCGTTCTCCACAATCCATGCTTTGATGAGATGTTAAACCCCCCCACCACCACCCCACCGTTTGCCTGTTCAGGTGGACGGACGTTAAAGACCCCCCCGGTGCTGTTGAATAAGAGAAGGTTGTTCCGCCCGAGGTCCTGACCGACAATTCCCCTAATAAAGTTATAGTTTGCCCACAAAAATACACCGTCAATTCACTTTACAGTATATCCCGTGAAGCACTTTGAGACGTCTCAAAGACGTGATAAGGCGCTGTATCAAACGCGAGGATTATTAGTAGTAGTAGTATTCACTTCCGGGCTGTTTGTGGGACGTCGCCGTGTGTATTCGTTTAAAAAGACCACACACAGCACTTCGTAGTAAATTCCGTGAAGCGCTTTGAGACATCACCACCCCTCCCTTCCTCAACATGCGAGTTGCTGTATAAAATGCGTGGACTTTATTTATTACAATAACTACTTTGTTCGCAGAGCTGCCGATCCCACTCGCCGGGCAGTTTGTGTTGCCACCGGTGAGGACTGGCTCAGCGGGACATGCCTGGGTGTCCCTGGATGAACATTGCCATCTGCACTACGAGATTGTGGTGGCCGGGCTCAGCAAGGGAGAGGACATCACCATCAACGCGCATCTCCACGGCTTCGCAGAGATCGGCGAGATGGGCGATAATAGCCAGGAACACAAACGTCTCCTGAAAGGCTTCTATGGATCAGAGGTAGAGTAGCATTTGACTAATACTCAGACTGTATGAGAGTACAGAGTAATACTGTCCTGAGGAAATGTTTGGAGACATCCTCTGGACACGAAAGCTGCTTATAATTCAATGCAATGATTATTATTATTGTGTTGGAATGGTATAAATAATTCTGTAGAGGTTATTTCTAAATGATTTGTGTTGATGTTACGATATGATATCATTGTTATCATTATCAATAATATCAAACAGACTCTTTTACAGGTTGCCATCTTGCTCTGGCGGCTTTTGTCAGACAAAGTATCACCTCCCATCGGACCATTTTAACCACCTGCAACTTTCGAAGCTTCTTCAGTTTTGTAAATTTTGCTGGTAACATTTCTCCAATGCTGAGAATCTGTCAACAGTATAATTTTCCTCTATTGTGTTCATAGACGTCTACATTTCCTAGATGTGGGAAGCTCTCTGGGACGCTACCCGACATGAGGTGCACTATATAAATGCACAATATTGATTATGTTTGCAATGGGACTAAGCCGTACACGTTTCCCATTGCTCTGCCATTTTTAGGCTCAAGGAATATTGAAGGATCTCAGCCCAGAACTGCTTAGACATCTGAACAGAGGAACCGCGTTTATTCAAGTTAGCACCAAGGTCAACCCCAAAGGAGAGATCAGAGGGCCGGTAAGTGTCAGCTGTCACAGGCGGTGCGAAACCTTAGGCGAGTTTCCTTACGCCACACGCCTCTGTTTACCAAGCAGTAAGTAGGGGAACCCTGCTGTTAGTCAAATGGCGGACTGCTTTCCGGAGGTAATAATCCCCCCTACCCACCCCCCACCAAAAGAAATTTGATCCTTCGACCCATGACTGTTTGTGGGACATTGTTGTGCGAAATTGGCTGCCACATTTCATCCACAAAATACACAGTCAATCCATTTTACAATACATTCGGCGCTTTGGGATGTCTCAACGACGTGATAAGCCGCTGTATCAAAGCTCAGGATTATTATTAATATTATGATAATATTTTAGGGTTTCAAGTGGGGGATAAAAAGTTGTTCTTCCACCAGGTGCTGATTCGCAACCAGTGCAAGTCGAAGGGATTCGATCTTCCCGAAGATCCTGAGTACGAGGAAACTTTTTTCCAGGAGATGAGATACGATCCCGAGGAGCTGAAGAAGGATCCGAACTCCTGCTTCTTCGAGGGGCAGCAGCGGGCACACGAGTCCCGTTGGTCCCCAGACTACGACCGCAAGTGTTCAGTCTGCTCATGCCAGGTACCCCGGCTTCACAATGAGGAGGGGTTTCAACAGAGTAGATTGGGAGAAACTCTTTCCACTGGATCGGTAACCAGGGCACAGAGATTCAAGATAATTAGATAAGATAAGAAGTGTCCTGGTGGTGGGGATAGAGATTGATCAGTGGTGGGGGCTAGAGGCAATGGACTTAAGCACTGGTAAAAAAAATGTTGTCACTCAAACCACAACTGTTTGTGGGACACCGCTGTGCGCAATTGGCTGCCGCATTTCGCCCACAAAATATACAGTCAATTCACTTTTGCGGTATATGTTGTAAAGCTCTTTGAGACGTCTCAACGACGTGATAAGGCGCTGTGTCAAATGCAAGGATTGTTATTCTGAAGACCTTGCGTCTCTAATCGTTCATCCAGCAGATCGACTTCGATGGAAGAGGTAGTCCCAGCGAAGACCATTCCTATTGGCCGAATGGCCTCCTCCTGCGCCTTGAAGCACGTTGAGGTGCTCTGAGGTGCTGGCCAGCAAGGAAGGCGCTGTATAGATGCGACTTGTTGCTGCTGTTGGTGTGATTTCAGTGACCGTGAATTGATCGTTTCATTTCTCTGGGTTTCAGAAACGGACAGTTATCTGCGACCCTATCATCTGCCTCGCTCTCAACTGCTCCCACACCGTGCAGCCTGCAGACAGGTGCTGCCCAGTCTGCAAAGGTCGGTTTTATTTCTGTTTGCTAAATCAATGCTAAATAGCGTGAGCCACAGGAAAAGAACACAGTCGGGCAAATCCTGCGGGTCTAACCCGACTTACTGATGCTCGGTTTGGTGATATAGTGAGCATCGTTTTGACTGATGACATTAACCCTCAGTGAGTGCTTAAGAATGAGAAAACGTGTGTCAAACAAACTTCGGACAAATCATTTTTTGTTGAGAAAATGACTGAAACGATTGCTCTTTAAAGAACTGCTTGCCTTCTGTGCTGTAAATTTCTACACTTATGTGGAGGGAAAGTCTGTCATCTGTTCTCCATCATCTGGAGTTCTGTAGCGTAGAAGATGGTGCGCTCTCCTTGCAAGCGAGAGGACCTGGGTTCAATTTCCAGACGGGGCAAAACTTCAGGCAAGTTTCCTTGCTACCACGTGCCTCCGTTTACCTGGCAGTAGGTAGGTTGTTAGTCCATTGGCAGTTTGCTTTCCGGGGGTAATAATCCCTCCAAAAAAATTAATTTTGGTCATTCAATCAACAACTGTTTGTGGAACACTGCTGTGCACAATTGGCCCCCGTGTTTCGCTCACAAAATACACAGGCAATCCATTTTACTGTGAAGCGCTTTGAGAGGTCTCAACGACGTGATAAGTTGCTGTAGCAAATGCAAATATTATTATTATTTTTACCAGATAAAACAATGGAGGAACAGAAGCCTGCGGGGGACCCGGTTGAAGGTGAGGTTATTAATAAACTCGACCTTTGTTTTGCCAGAAAAAAAAGAGGAACGAACCCATTACTTCAGAGAGGCATTTGGTGATGTTCTGTTACCTCTAATTCTTTAATGGTGCCGAGGCTTTCCGTACGATTATCTGGTTCAGTAAATGCTGATGTCTGATAGGAACTCGGAGTGTATGAGGGATGTGGGTGTTGGTCAGCCGGGTGTCTGACACATGCGGAAACCCATCACCATGCTTAAGAGTATCCAAACTGAGGTTTCCAGGCATCCCACCCACACATGGAAATCCCAGAGGTAGATTGTTGGAATGGAATGCGCTCTCTGCCTGGAGGAACGCATCCTGCTGCCTAATTCTGGAAAATATTAGGCTCAGGTTGGCAAGTGCCAAGGCTTGGGGAGCCCAGAGTGTGTGTTGGGGTATGGGGGGTGTCGGATGGTGGGGGAGGGAGAGGGGAAGGGGCGTCTGTCTCGGTCACATTCCCTTTTGCCATTTAAGATGTTTCTAAAATCCGATTGCGCTCCGATGGGCTCACGTCACATCATCTCGGAACAAGCACAGAGAGACCTGTGGTCCGCTTCCCTTCTGACCTCGTGTCTGTGAACTTCTAGGCTGCTATTTTGATGGGGACAGGAAGTGGCATCCAGCTGGCACCACGTGGCACCCGTACATCCCCCCCTTCGGGTATGTGAAGTGCGCGGTGTGTACCTGCAAGGTAAGTACAGCCACGGACAATTCCATTAGTCCATCGCCTTCCACCTCAGGAGGACCTCTGTAAACCCTGACTGGGGGTCCAAGCTTCCTGAAAAGCGGGTGTGGGGGAGTGAAGGGGGGGTGGAATTGCAAAGTGAAGGGGGAATTGTGAGGGGATGGGGGTGAGAAAAGGTGGCTGAAAGCATAGACAAAAGGATAGATCTTGAGGCAGGTTTTGACGGTGGTGAGGGAGGGGGCCAGGCAGAGGGATTGCGGGATAGAGTCCCAGCGAGTATGGGGAATTGAATAATTAACCACCAGAAGAAGAACAACAAGAGCAAGTTACATTTACACAGCGCTTTTCACGTCAGGAGGACGTCCCAAGGCGCTGGGCGGTCAGGGACCTGAGCAGGGAGTTGGTATCAGGAGGGGTGGAGGGTAAGGGAAGGAGGGTGACCCCTATATCGAATGCAAAGATTATTATTATTAGATGAAGGTGTCGAGATCCACTAAATGGGTGTACGAAATGTGCTTACATTTTTGTAGTCAAACGACACTTAAAAATAAAATGTGAACGGTAACATTGCTCTTCTCTGTTCACAAGGGAGCAACCGGGGAGGTTCACTGTGAGAAGGTTCAATGCCCTCGTCTCTCCTGCAGCCACCCCATCAGACGTAACGCATCCAACTGCTGTAAAGAATGCCCAGGTGAGTCCGTTCTATGTTCTGGATGTGTTCTGGATATCAGTGGGGTGTCAGCCTGAGTCAGACTATGCGTTCAAAGCTTACAACTGACATGGCTCTACAGCAAATACTGCTGAGAGGGCCCCATAATCCTTGCATTTGATACAGCGCCTTATCACATCTTCGAGACGTCTCAAAGCACTTCACAGGATATACTGTAAAGTGAATTGACTGTATATTTTGTGGACGAAATGTTCTGGAACCCTCACCTACAAACTACATTAAAACTCGCAAAAGTCTTGTCTTGTTTTTATAAATCATCTAATTTATAAAATCGCCTCATTCACCTGAGTCCCATTCAGTTTCCCATCAAAACTGTTTGTGGGACGCTGCTGTGCGCAATTGGCTGCCGAATTTCTCCCATAAAATACACAGTCACTACACTTTACAGTATATTTCGTGAAGCGTTTTGAGACGTCTCGTGATGAGGTTCTGAATCAAATACAAGGATTATTATTATTGAAACCATTTAGATTCCTTCGCACTACTCGTATTAATCACTTCCTAACTCATAAACACTGCTCCTTTCATTACACCCGCACTTAATGGCTGCACTGAATCGCAGGAAAAATACCCATCGACCCATCACTGCATCTGCATTTTGCCGGATGCATTGAATTTACTCACGCGCCTGTAACTCAGATTTTGCGTAAGTCACCTTAAACGTTATGGTCCTGAGCGATACGACTCACGCGAGTTTTACTGCGCCACCGTCACCTTACAGCGGAAAAGTCCCGTTGAGCGCTTTTGATGCTCGAAAATGGTGCTGGACCAAATGCAAGGATGAATAAATCAATTCAATGTCGGCCGACCTGGCAAAGTCATAAGCCACGTGCGATGGAGACGGCAATGGAGCTGGATGTGGTGAGCTTCGCCGAACGGGTGTCTGAAATGTGCTTTCTCGCTGCAGCTACAGGGATTCCCCCATTTGACCACACAGAAATGATGCAGGCTGACGGCCCCAGGCCCTGCAAAATTGGACGCAATACATACACGAACAATATTAAATGGCATCCCGAGGTCCCTCCCTTTGGAGAGATGAAATGCATTACCTGCTGGTGTGATGTAGGTATTCTACTCAACATTGCTGCTCGTCTTGGGCCTCATTAGTCACTTGAAGTCTTTAGTGCTTTGATGTGAGGCGCCTGGCGTTAACAACACAGGCGTGATTCTGACTTGCTGCTTGTTCCCCCCACACCACCCCCCCACCACCCCGTGCCTACCCCCCCCCCCCCCCCCCCCCACCCCACACATCAGAGGCAGAACCTCCACCTGTGAAGTCCCGTAGTGAAGTGGTTAGTGCGCTCGCCTCGCAAACGAGAGGATCCGGGTTCGATTCCCGGGCAGGTCAAAAAACTTTGGTGTTAACATTTCGGGTCGCATGACAATTAACGAAATATGTGGACATGATTTGCAAATTAAGACAATTTTAAGACGCTTCCACAATTCTGCACATTTTTATGACAATGTGAGTGGGTGGGGGTGGGAGGAGGGGGCACGCGGGCTAAGACTAGGCGGAATTTGGATAATTAGAGTTGTTCAGATGTATCGGAGAGTAACCAAACCCCATTGACTGTGTGTGTGTGTTTTTTTTTGTTCTTATTCAGGAAGGGTCAACAAAATGTCAGCGAGAGAAGTGCCCAGTTCTGACCTGCACTAACATCGTCAAACCAGCCAACCAGTGCTGCCCACAGTGCGGAGGTAAGCTTCATACCCACGGAACAGGCATAGACCTGTGCTTATTCATGCCATAGATAGTGGAGTCCCCTAGCGCAGTGGTTAAAGAGCTCGCTTCACAAGCGAGAGGACCCAGGTTCGATTCTCGGGCAGGGCAAAACCTTCGGAGAGTTTCCTTACTCCACACGGCATAAATAGGAACCCGGTTGTTAGTCGCTTAGCAGATTGCTTTCTGGGGGTAATAATCCCTCCTCCCCAAAAATTGGTCACTCAATCCACGACTGTTTGTGGGACGTTACTGTGCGCAATTGGCTGCCACGTTTCACCCACAAAATATACAGTCAATTCACTTTACAGTACATTCTGTGAAGCACTTTGAGACATCTCGAAGATGTGATAAGGCGTTATATCAAATGCAAGGATTATTATTACTATTATTATTATAACCAGAGGTGCATTACGTCAACTGTGTACTGTGCTGTGACGCTCACGTTACTATTTAATCCCAACGGAATAATGTCAGAGGGGAGTTAATAATAATAATAATAATAATTCTTGCATTTGATATAGCGCTTTTCACGTTGGGAGGACGTCCCAAAGCGCTTCACAGAACACACTGTAAAGTGAATTGACTGTATATTTGTGGGCGAACGCGGCAGCCAATTGCGCACAGCAATGTCCCACAAACAGTCGTAGATTGAAAATGACCAATTTTTTTTTATTATTGTTTTTGATTTTGGAGGGATTATTATTAGGCTCTGTGTGGAGTAAGGAAACTTGCCCAAGGTTTCGCCCACTGCCTGGAATTGAACTCAGATCTCTCGCTTGCAAAGTGAGTGCTCTAACCACTGAGCTACAGGACTCCACAGGAGTTCCTGGTGGAAGGCGACTTAAGCTGCTATGGATCAAATCAATGAGCTTCTTGCGGTGATCTAAGGCTGCTCTCTCACTGTGCGATATCTTTTGTGCCTGTGATGAAGGTGGTGAGCGATTGAAGGAAGAGAAGGTGAGCAGGAGCTGGGGCACCAAGCCTTACTATGTCTGAATGTGCTGCTGGAGGCACGTCGTGGAGTCGGAGTCTCCTTCAGCTCGCCACGCCGGGGATCAGAGAACAGGAGATGCCTTTGGAAGAAAGATAGCCAAATCATTGCCTTGCACACAGAACCATCTGGCAGCGAACCCACTCAGGTTAAGGGCGACAGAATGCTTTGGGGCAAGGCAATGATTTGTGTTCCTGAGAACCAGACTCCATGAAGTCCAAACCTTGGCAGACAGACCGACCGACCGACCCGCCGACCGACCGACCGACCGCTCTACATAACCAAACCGATCCTCTGTCAAAATGAAGGGTGGCTTTGAAGAGCTTTTCACAGGCAAAAACATTTGGACCACTGGAATGGGCTGGGTCTCCACGAATAATTCTCCCGTCCGTATTCAAGTGCGACCGAGGGTTTGGCAAATGGATTTCCTCCGCGACTTCAGACAGTTTTCAGAGACCTCGAACCTCCCTGACCCATTGTTAATTGCTTTAAGGAGTGCGAGCTCCATCGTTAAGCGGTGGGACATGCAAAGCCCCATTGAGTGAGAGTAGGAGAGAGCGTTCTGAGCTGGGAATCTGGAGCACCTCTGACTGACTCCCGACACCAAGCCTTTCGTCTTCAACCTTTGCCGATAAGAGTTACTGCAGCAGATTCCGAATCCAGAAACTCCTTTCTTTTTTTGTGTGTTAAAAATAGCGCCAACGTGACGTGATGTGGTCTTTGCTACACTTGACCTCTCTTTGCTCTCGCCCGCCAACTCTTCAAACTCGCTGCTCGTCTTTGTCGAGGAGGGGGAAGGGGAGGGGAAGAGGATGACTGATGGGTTGGCTTGTTACCGTGCCAGGTGGGTGGGGGCAGGGGAGGGGGAATTTGGTGTATGTGCCACCAACAAACCCTTCTCCCCCCCCACACCCCCCCTCCCCTCTCCCCTCCCTTCTCTCTTCCCTTTTCCCCTTTGCATCCTTCACAAAAGTCTCACTCACATTCTACGTAGTGGGGTGGGGGAGTGGGGGGGGCAGGAGTGGGGGGGAGGGCAGGAGTGGGGGGGAGGGCAGGAGTGGGGGGGGAGCAGGAGTGGGGGGGGAGGCAGGAGTGGGGGGGGAGCAGGAGTGGGGGGGGCGCAGGAGTGGAGGGGGGGCGCAGGAGTGGGGGGGCGCAGGAGTGGGGGGGGGCAGGAGTGGGGGGGCGCAGGAGTGGGGGAGGCAGGAGGGGGTGGGGGCAGGAGGGGATGGGGGAGCAGTGCCTTTGTTGAAGGATTCAGTCTTGCTGTGAACTAAATGAAGATAGAATAGCGTCATTGTACCTAATGACCACCCAGAAGTTGGTCCCCCCCTCCTTAACCCCTCAGCAGAGTGTTGATGATGGAGCACAGAGTATCTCCAGTGTCAAGTGATGTATAAATTGTAAGTGATCTCCTGGTGTACCCGCAGGTCGTTACCATTTAACCCAACGTCAGGGATCCTGACGGTCAGATCCCAACCCGAATCCCAACGGAATAATGTTGGAATGAACGCCACCTCCGGTTTTTGTCGCCGGCAAGCCCAGCAAGTCACGTTATGTTTCCCCAGTCAGAAAAGCAACAGAGCAACTCATCCCAGCCGATTAATCGCACTCCGCTACTTCTTTCACTAACCCCAAAGTACAGGGTATTCACAAAGTCCTGTTACCCCCATGTATTTTTTTTGGCTACAGTGCACTGACCAACAACTCAACTGTGGACGAATGATTGTATTTAGAAAGTACTTAATTATATTCAGTACAAGCGTTTAATTGTATTTTAGACGTCCAGAGGATCAGTGTGTGAGTGTGTGTATGTGAGAGTGTGAGTGCATGTGAGAGTGAGTGTGAGTGCGTGTGAGTGCATGTGAGAGGGTGTGAGTGCGTGTGTGTGTGAGCGCCATCGTTTTCTTGGTCTATAATGATCATCGACATGTTCTGTGCCACATGTTTCATAACGTGGATGGAGTCGGTGAGGAGGAAAGTGACTGGTGTCAGACATTGTTGCACTCAACTCGTCTGCAACAGAAAATAATTCATTGTAAGAAAAAAATGTCACAGTGGGGTAACAGGACTTTGCGAACACACTAAACTCACTTGAAGTGTGTTGTCAGGACAGCCTGAAGGATTATATTTTGCTATTTAACATTTGGTGAAACTCAGCTGCTCTTTTTGTCAATCCGCAGGTTACGTAAATATTTTTTTAATTATGCTCCGACCCGAGCAGTGTATTTATTAAACGCTAATAAAGTAGTCACGACATTGTAATGAACTGGACTCAATGCTACAATTTATTTGTTATTGCTCTGAAAATCCCTACTCACGAGGTTTTGCCGTGCTTGCCTGCAAATCACAGTCACTTCAGTTTACAGTAAAATCCTGTATTGCATTGAGACGTCCTCCTGACGTGAAAGGTGTTTATTATTGTTATTATTTAATATTATTACTATTATTAGATAGTATAGAGCTCCGAGACGCTGCCCTGTGTGAAGGGCGCTATATAAATGCAAATAGTTTTATTATGATTAATAGTAACTGGTAAACTCTTAAATTCAGTCTTTATTTGAAAGCTGTTTTTCCTGCATTTTTTTAAATAAAGAACTTGGATTCGGGTTAGAATTAGAGTCCGACAAGGAATGGGGGAGGGAAGGAATGGGGAGGGGGAGACAGAAGGCTGGGGGGGGAGCGAAGGCGGGTGGGGGAGGGTAGAGAGAAGAATGGGGGGGAGGAGGAGGAGGGGAGAAACTCAAACAGATGAGATGCAATTTGAGCTCAGTTTTGTCAATCAGCCCCCACTGGGTCCCCGACCTCATAAAGGGAGACGGTTAAGGGCACAGCAGGGAGGCACGAATACGAAGCCAATAAAAGCAGCACTTTCCCCTTTTGACGAGCAAAAATCAATGGGAGAATTCCCGGGGAGTACAAGGCCACAGGAAAAGCAATTATTTTCCTGGACATTTACTGTAAAGTGTAATTAACATTACGAGCTCCTACAATAGGCGTCCGAGTGCCCACGTTTGTGTGTTCGGGACAATGGGACCCAGCTGTGCAAATCCACTTGTTTTTCTCAGGCACACAGCTAATCATTGAAACCCACCATTGAGGGCTTGTGACAATAAACAGAACCGGGCGCTTTCCCTCGCATTGCTGTGTGCTTGTTATACGCAGAGCCACACAGATGTCAGGTACCAACAACTACAACAACAACAGCAGTTGAGCTTAACCTATTAGCGTGCTGCTATGCTCAAAACAGTGCCTTTCAGGTCAGGGGGGCGTCTCGATCGAAGCGCTCCGCAGTATTTACTGTGAAGCGCGGTGGCGTGCGTGTAATTGTGCCCGAATGCGGCAGCCAATTTACGCTCAGCAGCATCCCACGGACAGCTGAGACGTGAACGTGAACCAATATTTGAAGGGCGAGGATGCTTTTCTACGCTTAAAGCACGTTTTATTGGAACATTTCCTGACCGTGTGTGTCGATTTCTTTAAGGAAAATGTTATGCTCTCAGCTGTTCTGTTTCTTTTCTCTTTGCCCCCTTCCCTAACTCCCCCACCTGCCCCCTCTCCGCTGGGCACCCCTCAGTGGGTTCTGTAGGACAGACACTTGAGTCGTTTGGGTGAAAGTCAAAAGAAATTCCCTAAGAGAGAAACGAGTCTCTCTATCCCAATGTCCTACCCCCAGGTAAAATGGCTCCTTCCCTTCACGGCTGTTTCGTAGGGCGTTGCTGCGCTCAAATTATAATAATAATTGGCTGCTGCGTTCACCTAGAAAATACACAAGTCACTTCACTTCTCAAGAAATATAGGTCCTGCTGTGGCGATCAGGAGATTTGTGATTTAAAGTGGGTTTTCGTCTCCCAAGTGTCCACGTGCAAACTTAATCAATCTCGCCACCAGGTGTCAGCTTTAAACAGAATGGGGTGAACGCAGTGGGTTAGAACCACAATCCTTTCAGTTGGTGCAACACCTTATCGCATCGTCAAAGCAGGATTTACTGCTTTACTAGGAGGAAACCAAGTGATGATTCCGTTTCATGTCCTGGCACCTCTGTACCTCTGCGACCTGCGTACCCCACTCCCCCGCCCGACCCACGACTCGCTCGACTGGCTCCGGCCTCCTGCATGTCCCTCGTTCCCTCCGTTCCACCGTCGGTGGCCGCGCTTTCAGCCACTACGCGCCAAAACTCTGGAACACTCTTCCTCTATCCCTCCACCTCACCCCTTCCTTCCCCATCTTCAGGTCGCAACTGAAGACCTTCCTATTCGACCGTGCCTACAGTCACCTCCCTCCTCCCCCCAGCTCGGCATCGAGCTCTCTGGGACTCTACCTTGCGTGAGGGACGCTATATAACTGCAAGTTTTTGATGTTGTCGATGACCTTATTTGACAGAAAACCCCCTTTCCAAAATTGATCCTTCAAAGTTTTTGTGGAGAGAGAAAAGAAACGACATCTCGGTGTAACAGTGATCCACTGGGTCCCATTCCCATCCCTGACCTTTCAGGAAAGAAGCAACTTTGCGCCAGGTTTCGTTTGCACGTGTTTGTCTAAAGTATGGCTGTGTGCGAGTCAGCGCCTCGCCTGCTTCCCTCTGGGGTGAATGGTTTGGGTTCAGTTCTCAACTCAAGCTCTGAGCTTCTGCTCTACTGTCAGAGGACATCTGGTTATTCAGATGCGAGGTTGAAGCTGAGAGACTATCTCTCTGTTCTTTGACCAGATGCTGAAAATCCTGTGACCCTATTGGTAAAGCGTATGCAGTTTCTCCCAGTGGGTGTCATTTCTGTGTCCTTATTTCTCCGTTGCTCTGGACTTAATAAAGAGTTAAGCTAACCAAAGCGGAGTGGATCAGCTCCCTCTGATCAACTCTACCTCTCTGCCTCCACCCTTAACTCTAGGACCATCGCTGTGCTGACAGAATCTCTGTCGAAAATCAAGTCCTGGATGAGAGCTAATTTTCTTCAGTCGAACGTCAACAAGACTGAGACTCTCCTGATTGGCTCCCGTCAGCGCCTCCGCACCTCAGGTGCTGACAGCATCACCATCCATGGTTGCACACTCCGTCTTGCTAAGTCAGTCCAAAATCTTGGGGTCTTGTTTGACCCTCAACTATCCTTTCTACCCCACATCTGTGCCATGATCCGCTCTGCCTTCCCCACCTCCACAATTTTGCCCTTCCGCCACTGTCTCACATCACAGGCTCCGAAACACTCATACATGCCTTCATCGAGGCTCGACTATGCAAACTCACTGCTTGTCGGCCTCCCCAACTCCTCCCTCCATAGATTGCAGATCATCCAGAACTCTGCAGCCCGTGTCCTCTCCCGCACTAGGCTTTGTGATCCTATCACCTACCTCCATCCTCGCCCGTCTACACTGGCTTCCCATCACACAGAGGGGACAATTCAATATCCTGGTCCTTACTTTCAAAGCCCTCCATGGTCTTGTCCCTTCCTACCTCTGTGACCTCCTAACTCCCTACCATCCTAT